TTAAGTGAGAAAAATCACTGCAGATATTGAATTCGTATATTATTAAAGATAATGAAAATAGATGACACCCAAAAGCCTCATGGATATATATTGATCGTAACTGGCAAACTTGTAACTTGAAGATATAAATTTATATGGTTTATATATGCTGTCACTCGGAGGGGCTTTATTTATGCTGGGACATCAGAAATAGTTCATATTATGTCCCAGATTTATGTTAATTAAGCATATTACATTTTGTTAGGGTAAATTTTATGTGTCATTGTGTAAAGTCTACATCAATACTTTCTCACTTATGTTAACCCACAATAAATTTAAATTAACTTCCTTATTAAAGTATTTAAACATTCAGTACTTCAAACAATAAACTTGAAGAAGGTCATTTTGTCAAGTATGTGTAATTATATTTTTAAGTTTTGTTACATTGCTAAATGAATGTCCTACAGTAATGCTTCTAGAACAAATATGCATGGATATATTCCCTGCTATTTGATATGAAATTTTTGATGATATGAAATTTTCTTTAACTTTGGGTACAACAAAATACAATATTACATTTCATAGTTCATTATTACAATGTATAATCCTTAAGATACTAAGTTAAATTGTGTATAATATACAATAAAATATCATTAAACTAATATTTTCTATTAAGTCTCTAGATAGGCATTAATTAGCTCCCAATAAATAAAGCTGAACTAAAAAAAACAACAACAAATGTTATTACTGAGAATGAGTGTTAGCACTAAGAACAAATTTCAGCATGAAGTATGAATTTCAGCACTAATAATGAATCTCAGCACTAATAATGAATCTCAGCACTAAAAACAAATATCAGCACTAAGAGATAATGTTAACACTAAAAACAAATATTAGCATTAAGTTAGCTTTCAGAAGGAATTTTAGCACTAATTTTAAGCACTGGGAAAGAATTTCAACACTAAATATGAATGTCAGCTCTAAGTACTTGTACAAATGTCAGCACTAACAATGAACGTTAGCCGAAAGAACAAATAAAAGCACTAAGAATGAATGTATGTATTAAGAAGGAATGTTAGCACTAAGAAAGAATTTCTGCACTAAGATGGAATGGAATGTTAGCACTAGCAAGAAATGTCTGCATTAGGAAGGAATGTTATTACAAAGAAGAAATGTTGGCACTAAAATGAATGTAAGCACTATTAGAGGGAATGTGAGCACTAAGATCAATATGTTAGCTCCAAATACAAATGTCAGCAATAAAAACAAAATGTCAGCACTAAGAATAAATCTCTTATGAACCATTCAGATATGGCATGGCTCTCTTGATTTTTTTCGAACTATGTTTATTCCAGTTTCAAACATGTACGATACATTAGCTGCTAAATAAGTTAAGTTATAGTAATATTGCACCTGTGTACTTAAAATTGGCATTTTAAGTGTTGTAAATTTTGTGTTATGTGATTAAGAACTTCCTTGTATGAAATATTCTACCATATTTGGCAATGGAATTTTTCTTCCTAGTGGTCGTAATCCATTGCCTGTGTCTAAATGCTTATAGTGTGTCAAGGAAGTTTACTTATAACATAGTTATGTATAAAAATGTTTTCCTATATCTGTTCATCTACAGCTTGGTGTTAAAGGGTCTTAACTCCTACTTTATTTCATATGAGTTACGACGCTTTCGCACCAAGCCCTCAATATAGTTGTACAAAGTGACAGGTGCTCCAATTCATTTCAGGCAGTAAGGCAAGAAAACAAATAGTTTTGAGTCTTTTAAAGTGTCTAGGTGAAAAACATTTTTATACTGATAATGTATTATGTATTGATTTAGCTAGTCCATTAAGATAATGTAGATATGAGTGTAAAACAAATCTAAAGATGTTGTCCGATCAAATGAAAATTTGCTATTTAAGAACATAGATATTTCTTAAATTCTAGCTACAATTCATATTGATGGTGACCATTTACAGTACAATTGAACTTCTTTCAGTGAGGATCTGAAATGGACAACAATCACTGTCTCAATTTGTTTTGATCCCTTTGTTACAAAAATAAAATCATAATTTGATTTGTAGCATCAAGTAACTCTGATCTATATGATAAATATAAAATGGCTTGTGTGGTAAATAGCAGTGTAATGCTGGAATTTCCAGGTTTTGAGGATACAATGAGTTGTAAATTTTTCTCTGACATATAAGGGAGACAATCTTTGAAAAGAGATTTTTAAGTGGTATTTTGAGTGATGTCCCTTTATTTAATATCAAATGTCAATAAAGTCTGTAACCAAATGAATGAACTGGAAGATTTAATGTCATAAAATCATAAACCAAATACTAGTAATTATTGAAAAGTAATTAGATTTGTATCTTTCACATTTCATTATGAAATAGTTAAATGGATTTGCTGATTTTTTTTTAAAGTGGCAGGGTGTCAAGAGATAAAACTAAGGGGAGTAACTTGTGTCTGACTGTTTAGGCTTTTCCAAGAGAAACAACTGGGTTTTAAGACTTATATGCCTCCTTGGCCTGATTAGTTTTGGACATTACCTATAAATTGGTTTTGGACTTTACCTATATTTAACCTATAACTTACTTTTAATATTTAAGTAGTTCCTGCAGTTTTCGTATGTGTTAAAAAATTTAATTGCTTTCAGTGATAAATGGTTGTAAATGATAGTACAATATTAGATCAGTTTTATCCCTATTGTTTTTTTTACTAAATATTAACCCTTACCATGCTTTACATATTAATTGGACCTGTACATCTTTCAATTTGGACAAAACCATACATCATAATTCATTTTTAGGGGAAATTTCAAAATATATACTGACTGAATCGCACTAACAATTCAGACTGAACTGGTCCCATGGGTATAATCTGTTGCTGAGGCTCAGGGTTAATCAGTACAGAAACTGTCCCTTATGCATAATAATAGTAGATGCAAACAAAATATCAATGAAGCATGAATGGAATTAATACAACACACCATGACTGTTCTCATGGGGTAAAAAGTAAACTATTACAAATTTTTTCAAGAATTTTTTCACACGCAAAATCTCTTCCTAAGGCACTAGGAGAGATGTTGTTCTTTGATAAGACATGGTATATAAAAGTTGTTTGTTCAAAGAATTGTCTGCATAATCTGAAGTCATGAATTTAACAAATTTTAATCAGTTACAAACAATTATTTCTTTCAGTTAATTTCAATTGCATGGTAAAAGATGTTTTAGTAAACAATTTGTATTAATTACAATTACTTTGAGGCGATCAGAAGACAAATTTTGTTATAGCTTTCTCTTGATTAGGATTTAAAAGACCCATTGCTAGCATTTTTATATTTCAAAAACTTCTTTATTTTTGTTGTCCTGTTACAGTTTCCAATATTTTACTCATTGGCCATATAACTTGTCCAATCTTCTGCCTCTTTTGCAATTTGTCAACTAGTACACTAGTAGTGATTTAGTATTTTGTATGGAAGAGTCAAAATACTTCTTTTTTTACATTAATATGCTACCTTTATAACAAATTATATTATTATTATATTCATAGCTATTTTCTTTACGTTACAAGAATCATGCACATTAATATTACAACCTTATAAAACAGAACTGATGACTGTCCTTTCTACAGCAGGAAATATTTGTTCATTTTTAAACCTTAATGGGCCTTTAAATCACAGAATGTTTTACTCGTTTTATGAAAAAGAACTAAATTAGCAAGCTAAGGAATAAAGTCAGCAGCTGAATTAACTCTTAGTTTCCTGCTGAAACTCTTCAGTGTCCCTGTTTTGAACGATCATCCAATATCAATTTTAGGGAGGTCAAGATGAAATAGAGTTGATCAGTCAACAGTATAAAGCCTTGTCGGTCTGCACAGTAATGCAGGCTGGCCTGATTGTATACTGGACTCAGGTACTGCTTATCACTTGGTTCAACACTGCACTGTTAGTAAGTGGTTACTATATAGAGTATATAATGTATATCTACATCTGCAATCCAAAGAAGTTGCAGATATATTTTCTGGCTTTCTTTATTTTTCTGTATTTAAAGACAAAAAATCACTTTCAGAAGTGTTCTTAATTGATACTTTGACATTTACCTAAGAAATAAATTTCATCAAGTCCCCAACAAAAGGAGGTAATTTTGCAGTTAACTAATTAAGGTAGGCCCAGACGAAAAATGATACTGAGCAGTAATTGCCTTCTTGCGCCATATGAGGTGACAAAATAATGGTAGAATAAATTCTGGAAGCCTAGAACTAACATTGCCTTCATTTCCGTTATGTTTTTTTGCGGACAGTATTTCAGGAATCAATTTCTTCAAGCTTTCTCAAGTTCTGCTGTCGCTTTCAAGAACAAGCAAGAGCTCTTTGGTCGTGAAAGATATTATGAAAGTTTTAATGCGCTCTAAAGTTTCATATTCATAACAGTGCAGGAGTCTCAAATTGATTTAAAAATCATACTTTACAGTGTTGTATATAAATGCATAAAATACCGGTAGTTATTTAGGAGTAGTTTTTTATCAGGATTGGCCGAGAGCTGCATGTATTATTTATCAAGACAGAAAGGAAAAAGGGATTGTGCGGAGATGACTTCAAGATATACATGTACATGAAGATTCTTGTAGTACTAGAGGCAATGCAATATAGCTCTATTCAACAAAACATGATTTACATACGATATTCAGTCTTGACCCAGATAGAGGGAAAAAAGTAACTTTGCCTGGCAGTGACATCCAGTGGTCATTTATTAGTGAAGAAGTGAGATATTTGTATAGCTTTAGTTGACAAGTCTGACAAAAGCTGGAGTTATTTGATATAATTGTGTTGTATTACATATACCATACATGTGTGCATGTGGTGAAAATATTGTTTTTATATCATATTTAGAGTGTTTATACAGTGGGATTGATTTATATCATTATTCTTTGTCAATAATCCTTTCTGAAGAGGTGCTATTTCACTACTGTTTTCATAATTCTCGGACTGGTTTAAATATAGTGTGTTTAAGGAATTTAAGTACATTGTCAATTAACTTAGCCACACAATATTTGCATATAATAAGAAATTTCAATGTGTGTTAGAAAATAAGTGAACAAAGGAATTATAATCAATTTCCAATGTGTCAAGAGAGAATTAACTGTTCCAGTGCATACAAAAGTGGGTTAATTGACAAAACAAGACAAAAATGGGAGCACATGTGTTGAAAAGTTTGCTTTTCACAGTCCACTGGTTTTCCTATACTTGTGTTATCATCTATTAATATTCATGGACACATCCTAGGCTCAATTTACAGGTGTTAACTTTCATTATTTTAAGACTAGTGATTGTGTTGCTACTTTAGTGGTGGAAAGGAATTGTTCTTTCAGTGGATTTTAAATTAACCTTTGCTCACAGTTGGCACTAAAACATAATCTGATATTACACTGTTTTTTTAACAGTTTGAGTCTAGACTTTAAAAGTTAAACGTTATTGTACCACAGTGTTTGAATTTTATCAGTTTTAACTCTTCCTTTACAAATTGCGATGAATTTTTGCTTGGTTGGAGATATATTTCATTTTCTCTCTTTTCTCGGATAATGACAACAAATTATTGTGTAAACATAGGATTTTTTAGTGGGTGAAAATTGGATAACAATGGCATCCCCACTGGGTGACAGGGTGACATTTGCTCGCTCATCTTTACGAAGATCAAAGAGGCGTCAACACACAGGCTTTGGACAAAGTAAGCTTTTTTTTCATCCGATTAAATATTACTTTATCTTGTGTGTAAAGGAAACCCTTGTGTCATATTTGTAGTGATTGATAATGTACCGATATTTTAAGTTTAAAAAGATTGCGTAAATGTTTATGGTGAAGATAAAATACATTGACAAGACAGAAAACCAGTTTATTACCTGTTTAAGATTGAAATGTCATTGGTTTTTTTTTTACATACTTGGAATTCGTAATTGCCTTATGATTTTATCAAATATCATACAGCCCTTCAAATATCAAGGCAAGTTCATTGTTTTCGAATGAACAGACTAAAGTCACTTGCTCGTGAAGCGAAAAATTGTAGTATTATGAAATATATATTAAAAACTGGTTTTCATATGGGTTATAAAATTGATATTAAGTTTTGATAATGACATAATTATACTTGTTTACATTATGTATCATATTAGTTTCGGGTTTAAACATAACATATGTAACTTAAGGTTTAAATATGAGTTATGACAAAGCGATTTTTATTATTATGTAAATGAAGAAACTTAAAATATATTGGCAGGGATTGCATAGTCATTTTGCATCTACTGTTGGACTTATGTTTGACGTAATTAGGCTAGTATTTAGCATTTGTTTAGCACAATAACACCCAGACCAACAAATTGTGGGCCAGGGCTTTATATTATATAGATGATGGCCGCCCTTCCTAAAGACCGACATCTATTTTTTGTTAATTGGTCTTGCAGTCGAAATATTTTGACTAAATAACAACTGTCTAAGTTGGCTACATTTACCCTTATTTTCTTTCAGGGGGAGAATGTATTTTGTTCACAATTCACAATCAATTGTAAAGTCAGATAGAAATTATTTAAGGATTCATTGGAAGACTGTTTTAGATGGACTAGGTTTAATAACAAGGTTCAAGATCAAGATAGAAATAGTTTATGAGAACTTACCATGATTTAAAAGTACAGTCGACTCCAGTTATAACGAACTCAATGGGACATTAAAATATCGTTAGTTATATCCGAAGTTGGCTAAAAGCGAAGTAGCAGCCACTTGCTGACTTGTTTGGATGGGGAAATTTGCCTTGAAAAAGCCATACCCTTCACTGGTTACCGGTGTAACCGGTATTTTACTGCGCAGCGGTTATTTAATGCGGGGCATTTTATTGAGCTATATATCATGTACATGGTACATATATTTATTCATGTATTAATTGTCTTTAAAGTTCTTACCATTTGTTTTCTTTGTTTATATCGTTTGGCTAATATTGCAAACACAAAAAACGATTATTTGGCAATTATCGGATATTTACAGCAATCAACTGAGGGTGTGAAATACAAATTTTCCGTAACAAGTAGGAAATTATGTTGTGAGAACATTTTATCAAAATCTTTATTCCCTGAAGCCATAACTAACCTGTGCAATCATTTGATTGTTTAATTATTGGATAGCGTTATTCATGTACTGATCCTAATCAAGCGCATCCCGATATTTCAAGTATAACAGTGTGTTATAACCGAGGAAATTTAAATGTTTTCTGTCATTTGGGGCTTGAAAAAAATGGTTCGTTATAGCCAAAAATTCGTTATGAGCGAGTATGTATTAAGCCATGTGATCTAATATAAAATAAAGAAGGAATCGGCTGGGGATGTCAGATTTAGTTCGCTATTAACGATAATTCGTTACAAGCGAGTTGGTTATAAGTGGAGTCGATTGTAGTAATAATCACTGTCGGGGACCAGTCACGGCCTCAGTATATAAAGGGGCTGCCTCTCAACATAGGGATTATTGGTTTAAGCTCTGCCGGGGTCACAATCTTATTTCTTCATATTTAAAGACATGTGCCACTACTGGTTATCTTTCAGGACATCAACTTTATTCAGGAATGGTTTTCAAATAAGCCGCAGCTTTTATTTACAGTACAATATACAAGCTTAAATTAACTGATGCTTAATCTTACAAAAGCCATAGAACAACAAAGTCAATTAATGTTGTTTAAAGTTTTAAGTTTGCCTTGTTATAATGGTCAAGTGAGAAGTTGACCACTCTTACATAACGAGACAAAGAATGGAAATTGGAGAGAATTTATGATATTTATGATAGCTTCCTTGTGTAATGTCTCTGAGATATTCTGCTTGCAGATCTCCAGAATATTCAATTATCTTTCTATCATTCTATCTGGATTATGAGAGGTTAATAATGGTAGTACATATGTACAAGATAAACAAACAACCTGTTTGTTTTTATCATTTCATCTTAGTTCTGTCTCTATGATGTCTTGGCATGGTCAACAATAAATTACCCGGCAGCTTATATTCACCACGGCAGCTTATATTCACCACGTAATCCTTTTTCCCTGCTTTAATGGTCTTTGCCTGCTTTCAGTTAGGGACTGTGCATTGTTTAATTAATTACATGTACCTTACCTTGTTAAAGTACATGTCATAGATTACATGTAGCAGCATTTTGAATATGAAATAGTCCTTTTAAAATTTTACGGGAATTTAATATCAAAATACATAAACTAAGATACCAACAGTATAGTCTTAGTCAAACTGCTCGGATGTACTGGCTTATGACCTTGCAGGCATTGAAAAATATTTTCAGCAGAACGAGTAGCTTCTATATCATTTTTTTCTACTTGTTCTGCATTGAGTTCTCTTAAATTCTACTAGTACTTGTGGAATTTTCGATCTCTGATGTCCGACCAATATTTATATTGATGGCAAGGGCTTTTCAAGCAGGACTAATGTTAACGTAAGGGTTATTTAGTCAAAAAATGTAATGTATTAATTTGACCAGATGGTTCTGTTCTTTTTAGTTGACATAAGATATGAATGTAGCATTACTTGTCATAAAGGTGTCACATAAATAATATAAGATGGTTTGCCTGTATCTAATTTTAGGACCAAGAATTTACTTTAGTCAAGATTGTAAAAGGATGAAATTTATTTGCGCAGAAAATGTCACATGTTGTTGAATAGACTGGTTATTTTTGGTGCATATGTCATTATTGACCTTTGACTTCTGACTACATTGTACATGTATTGTATTCAGACCATTTATTGTCATTTTGTCCCTTTTGTCATGAAGAGGTCATTTAAAGTTTAATAACATGATTCTGATTGATTCATTTAGCATGGTTATTAAAATGCATGTACTGCATGATCATGAAGTCTCTCATTGTAAACAATAATGATGTCCTTAAGCTACCAGAATAGTAACAGCCCATGAGTCAAGTGGCCCAGCCCGGGCAACCTCGTCCCTTTCAATTTGACCAGATGATTTTTGAAATTAACCCTTTACCTACTTAATTTATGTAATGGAATTGCCCTGCATTGAATTTTGAACAGTCCATTTGAAAATTAAGGTAATTCAATATCAAAACATAAAAATTCAGCTACCAACAGTACAGATCGAGCCTTGTCAGAATGCACAGTCTCATTATGTACAGGCTCACCTGGCTCTATACTGGTGGTAAAGGCTTTCTGCTGTCAAGCAGGCTTAAAGGGTTAAATTTGAAATAGTTAATTATAATAACTTTATTAATAACTAAAATTATCTTAAGAAGGACAACACAGACATGAGTATTGAAAAAAAATTAGTAGTCTGACCAGATGGTTGGTTGCAATTTTAGAATAAACAAAGTCATATCACGAAAAGTTGTGTATACAAATGAGGCAAGATTTAACTTAGGGGGTGGTGGAATCAATGAAATAGGGAAAAAGGCAATGCAGTCAGTCTATAGCAAAAGAAAAAGAAAGAGAACCTTAAAAAAAAGAAAGGAAAGTTGAAACCTTGGGGACTAATGAAATTAATTTTAAAGATGTAGGGGAAGTTAAAACAGACTGAATTTGAAATTACAGGAAAACTTAATATCTTTGTTACATAAAAATCAGCGGATATCAGTGACATAACTGTCTGGAAAAGAGGAGATTATATGGTGATATAGAACTTATATATATTGAGAAAGATGCCCATTAAGTATTGTTTTAATATTGATTTCTCAATACTTTGTGATAATTAATTTTATCTCTGAGATTTATTGTCACATCATACATAGAAATCACACACGCAAAGAAAATCACATAGTTTAGTTTCTGTGTAAAATCTGTAAATATTTTAAAGTGAAGTTTTAGTGTCATTGAATAATTTCATACCTTGATCAAACATGCATTTTCATTCTGACATTGTCACGCATGTTTTAATTTTGATTTTATATTGCGTAACTAGCTAAATTATCATTTTGTGGTCTGCTTTGAGCATTTATATAGTTTTACCATATTATTTCTAAAAAGAAAAACAGGTAGCTAAAGTAAAGTAGCTTAATTCACACAGATAGTAAAAACGTTATGTTGTCCGGCTGTCATGGTTGCAGGAAGGGCCTTGCTGTGGTGTTGCTGACATAATGGACTAATTGTTTACATATGAAATTTTATTTAAGTTCAGTAAAATCCATATATTTTGCTTAGATAGTTGATATATTATAATTGACGGTGCAATATTATTCTTTTTAAATCCACAACTGTAGAGGGCCATTTGTGATGTTTTAATCAACTTTGTTTATCCACCAAAATGGTGTTAATGATGAGAAAATTTATAAATTTTTAATATATTAACATATTCATTCTTCACATATTTTGTCAATCAAGTCCTAAATTCTATTTTATTCTAGAACATGGTACAAGTGTTAAATTGTTAATGGTACAACATGTTTTTGCAACTGTAATCTCAAAAACCATATTGCTTCAACAGGGCCCATCATTATATAGTGATGACAGATAGATAAGGAATCTTAAATTTCACTAGGAAAAAAACCTTGATAATTTTTGATACAGCTACCAAGAAAAATTCCCACAATTATTTGGGGGATTGTTTTTAGATAGCTTGGATATGATTGTGACATTTAATCAAGACCTAGCATGAGAAATATGTGTTCAGCCGATTCCCCCCCCCCCCCTCGTAAAAAAATTATGAAAAAAAAAGGCAGTGGGTTAAATAGCTTTTAAC